TAGAACGACAGCTAGAAAATGAACTCACCCCGTGTACGCCACGAGTACACCGGTCCACTGGCCGCACGTGCCGCCCGTGCCAGAGAATACAAATAATTCCCTCTATACTCCGAACCGGGGGAATATTTGAGTTTTCTCTTTACTACATATTCAAAACAAACAACACAACTAGCAAATCACATTTGCCCGACCAGCCTGTTGTGAAGATAGAGAAAACTCACAAAGAAATGGCAAGTAGAAAACTAGGTAAAACATTTCAAATGCCAAATTTTACAAACCTAAATTTTTCGTCACGGCTAAACGTTTCTCAAACGAATCTGCCACGTAACAGTCTTTACTGAACTCGCTTTTCCAGCGACCGTGCCTCTTAAAACATCGGTCGTCGACTCCGTTATTAGCGGCTGTCGTCGCCCCTCCCGCTCGAAGCGAATGCAAGCCTAACTTACAAAATATGTAGCTTCACCGGAGACCAACCTCAATCTTTTGAGTATTGCCTCCTTAGCTCCTGTGTAGCTGAGTGCTTTGTTTTGTTTTCTTGCATGTTTTCCCGGAGCGATAAACTTGCTTAAACAAAAAAACTCTTCCGATTCCAGACTAATTTCTGCCGATTCTATGTACCTTAATAACATCGAATATGGGCAAGCGACCGGGATGCCCTTGCTTATCACTACCTCGTGGCCGAAACGATACTGGTCTGTTTTGCTCTTCCTAATGACTAACGTTAAGTATTCGCCGAATAACTTCCCGTCGGAACAACGTAAGCTACTAAGCTCGTTAAAACGTAAAAACCCAGAGAAACAAATTAAAATCATTGACAAATCTCGTACTATCAACAAGTCGTTCGATTTAGAATATGACCCACACAAATTAATCAGCATGTCATTGGTAACCGTTTCCTTCTTACATGTCGGCTTCCTGGCTACACGTTTGGATGTTTCCACCAAGCTTCGAATGACTGAATTAGTTGTAGGTTCCGGGTGACCGTTGATATTGTGCGCCCATTCGATGGCGTACGTCGCTGATGACACTGTAGAAAATGTGGATCCGTTATCTAACAAATAGTTCAAATACACCGCTACGTGAATCGGCGATACAGGAAGGGTTGAAAAACCATGAGCCGAAATAAACTGCTCCCACCTTCTGAACGCGCCATAATACTTTGAGTTTGTGCTTATACTCTTACTCTGTAACAGCCATACCCTCCGCCATCTGGTGCAGAGAGGAACCTTCCGCGATGCCCGAGCCTCCAGTGCGTTGTCTATCGACTTCTTGAAACCTATGCATGTTAACATAAAGGAAAACAAACCACTGCCCTAAAATACTACCATAAAGGCAATCATGTCAAAACCCAAAACACTCGTTCAAAAACACCCGTTTTTGCCCCTCCCCCTTGAGGTGACCTCCGTGTTTGAAAGCAGACGATAATCTGCGATAAAGCCGCCCTCAAACACCGCTTCGGGGCATAATATTGGCCAGTATGCCGCGCTCTCCCATAGCGGGACAATCAGAGTCCCGTGAGCCCATCGTAATTTCATTTTAGATATAACCTGACAAATGAGCCTTGGGGTTGGCACTAACCAGTTGTTTACCCACTGTCATGCAACTGTGAACGAATCCATGGCTTCGGTGCCCACGCACCACCACCTGGAATTGACACGTATCCACTTGCTATTGTAATCCGTAGCAAAACGATCAACTAAGTGTGGCCCCAATCATGCCTCACATAAATCAAACACCCATGCCTGTACTGACCAGTCGTCACAATCCTTACACCTGCTTAAATCATCTGCAGTTTCGTTTCTTTCCCTACGTAGCAATTGCGCAGTGATGTCTATGCTATTTTCATGACACACGTCATTAACTTCGCGTGCTATAACTTGTAAATCTGATTTTTAACTCCCTGTTTCAACTGTGGAACAAACGTTTTTGTTGTCAGTCAATAACTTAACATGCTTACCTCTGATCGAGTCTACCTTGTCAAGGATTACCCTTTTAATAGTATCCAACTCCCTCCAAGTTGAGCTATACGTTTTTTTCTCTTTCGTTCCACGTGCCTATTGATACGCGTATTTGGGTATGGTATCCGAATTTCATAATAGCATTATACCAATTGTAAATACTTAAATTGAATTAATCGTTAAAAGAACGTATTTTAACATAATGTCAGAATTTATAATTTGCCAGTTTAAAGATGAAGTAAAACCGCTGAGTATAATTTATTTATCTGATGATTTCATGTACAGTACTATTATATTATATACTATTATATACAGTCAGCAATCAATGGACATTGTCAGTGAGTAAATAAGTTTGTTTTCACAATAAAATCATTAGTTTTTTTTATCAGTTTGCAAACATAAGGGACACGTATATCATGTCAAATACAAGGACAACAGTAAAATATATCTAAATCCACTATGTCACCCTTTAGGAATGTTTGATTGCCCCACAACCGTCGATAACAAAACATGGAGTTGGTCACAAAGGCGATTCGTGCTATCTTCATATAAATAGTATGGGTAGAGTGGTATGGGGATCTCCGGATTATCTGTCTGTCCTTTACCAGAAACAATTTAGTATATCTTATACTTAATGCTCGAAAACCCAATTCGCCTCCTATCAAGTCATGACCTTGCCAATACCTATTTTATTTCGACAATATAACCAAGACATTAATGTTCTTCTATCGTTAAATACAAAACTACCCGGAAGTTAGGTTATAAATATGTATTACGTTATTCAAACCTTACCAGGCAATAAATCAACACATAGAAATGTCTTGTTTGCAAGAGACCCGCACTTATACACCATCAAAATTATGATAACATTATTTATGTTAGAGTGATCAAATCTGTTGAGCTCAAGTGGTCTGGAGTAGCCATATATTGAGAGCGTGGTTAGCTTCACAATAGACTGGATAGGTGGTAGACCAGTGTCGTTGAGTCACGTGGTAAGCTTCACAATAGACAAGATAGGTGGTAGATCAGTGTCGTTGAGTCAGGTGGTAAGCTTCACAATAGACTAGATAGGTGGTAGACCAGTGTCGTTGAGTCAGGTGGTAAGCTTCACAATAGACTGGATATATGATAGACCAGTGTCATTGAGTCACGTGGTAAGCTTTACAATAGACTGGATAGGTGGTAGACCAGTGTCGTTGAGTCACGTGGTAAGCTTCACAATAGTCTAGATAGGTGGTAGACCAGTGTCGTTGAGTAACGTGGTAAGCTTCACAATAGACTAGATAGGTGGAAGACCAGTGTCGTTGAGTCACGTGGTAAGCTTCACAATAGACTAGCTAGGCGGTAGACCAGTGTCGTTGAGTCACGTGGTAAGTTTCACAATAGACTAGATAGGTGGTAGACCAGTGTCGTTGAGTCACGTTGTAAGCTTCACAATAGACTGGATAGGTGGTAGACCTGTGTCGTTGAGTCAATCAAAGTAGACTTCTCCGCACAATATGTGACCAATCTCCTAAGAATAACCTGTTTTATCTATTAAGAGACCTTGGAAATGTTAACTGTTCAGAAGTTTATGCATTATCTATCAGTAGTAAGCAGTGTCTTGCGTGATTTTAATCACGTGTCTAACGTCATCATAACAGGTATTGTACTAATATGACATCCTTTATATATGCACTTATATAACTCGCAATCACATCAACCCTCACTCGCAACATCCCTAAATGACAGAGAAACCACGCCATGACCGACGTGATGCTGGTTATTTGGAAAGCTAACTTGTATAATCAGTGATCAAGTCTACACAACAATTAATTTCCTATTACATGAAGGAAAGTTACCTGAACATTTTATATATCAGAAAACATTTCAACAGCTAACGAATATAAATACCTTGTGTATGACACGTGTAATCTACAGGACATAAAAACGCAAACACGACACTTTGCCAAACCGAGGTAGGCTTGTTGTGACAACGTGAAATCAACCATTGTACAAAGCTAGCAACTGTAGAGTCATCAATAACGGTTGGACAACTAGGGTTGGGCGTTTGTGCTGGAACCGCATGGCATACTCTCTAGCAAAGGCTGAAAAAGTTTTCCAATATAATATAGAAACCAACAAGAGGCCCAGAGGGCCTGTATCGCTCACCTGAAAATATTAGCAAAATTGAAGTTGAAATAGCCATATGTTGCTGGAAGTGTACATGTATTACATGGTTAGCCAGGGGTAATATTTATATGTAATAAAACCCTGTCATTCCTACAGGAAAAAGAGAATTTGGAGAATTTGCTATAATCCCCTATTGGGTCCCGCCCCTCTGCACCAAGGAGGATCAGACCCACTGTTGATACAAAGTTAGCTCACCTTCACCCAAGGATTCTTAGACCAAATATTGACATTCTCCTGTCATTCCTACAGAAGGAGAAGGATTTTAAATATATTTTTCTATTGATTTCCCTTCCCAATAGGATGCTACTGTTCAAATTTGGTCAAATGTTTTTCCTCTATATCCATTATTGGGCCCACCCCTCTGCCCCAAGGAGGGGTCAGACTCAACGTTTATACAAAATTGGATCCCCTACACCCAAGGGTGCTTCATCCAAAATTTGGACAAAATCCTGTCATTCCTACAGAAGAAGAGGAATTTTCAAGAATTGTCCTAAATCTAACACTTTAATGTCTGTCTCGTCTTGTTTTTAAAAATGCCAAATCATAAAAAAATTTACTTAATATGTTAAAGTAACGAATAATAGTAATTATGCATAGAGGTATACTTTTTTAATACTGTAGAATTCGTAATTAAGTTCCGTAATGACAATTCGACATATACATATAATTTATGTTAAAAGTTTGCCGAAGACATGATTGCTAACACAAGTGCTGTTATATATTTTGATATAGTTAGTGCTTAACAACGAGTAAAGATTGATGTTCATGCAAATAATTACATTGAATATTAATAGACCAGGAAGATATGAGATTCGTATTCAGGTATATAAGTGGCGTGCTGTGGTATTCGAGTTACTGCGGGGTCTATAGCCGACCATGGAGATAACACTTATTATCCTGGCTATAACTGGATTCAGCATCAGTATTTGCTACGGGTAAGTATCGTCATTTTTTTATATTGTTCGATGTTAAAAATCATGATACTTATCATTTAGATAATCGGAACCAAGTTATTTTGAATGTCTTAGTAACTGATGTAGGTTTTATTTACATCAGTGTAAGTAACAGGAGACACTAAAACAGATTTAGTGATAACATCGAGGCTGTAGAATATCTTTATTAGCTTAAGGACGTCTCAACAATGGATGTGGTAATTTTATGTGAAACGAAAAACCCATGATGCTGAATTAAAATTAATTTGTAATACTTTGAGTTAATTCGATATGGATGCATTGCTTATTTTTCAAAGTATCATTATATATCCTTACCCTGTTATTACAAGCATTGCCCTGTTATTATATATCCTTGCCCTGTTTTTATATACCTTTGCTCTGTTATTATGAACCATTGCCCTATTATTATATATTTCTTCCATGTAATCATATATCCTTGCCCTATTTTTATATATCTATGCCCTGGTATTATATATCCATGCCCTGTTATAATGTACATTTGTCCTGTTATTATATAGCTTTGTCCATGGATTGTTAGTATATATCCTTGTCCTGTTATTATATATCCTTGCCTTATTATTATATAATCTTGCCCTGTTACATATAATATACCCTTTCCTGTTATTATATATCCTTGTCCTGCTATTATATACCCTTGCCCTGTAATTGTATATCTTTGCCTTGCTGTTATATACTATTGTCCTGTTTTAATATCCCCTTGCCCTGTATATATGTATCCATGACCTGTTATTATATATGCTTGTCCTTTTATTATATACCATTGACCTGTTAATATATACCCTTGCCCTGTTATTTTATATCCTTGGTTTGTTATTATATACCCTTGCCCTTATATTATATATCCTTGCCCTATTATTATATCCCCCTGGCCTTTTAATATATACCCTTGTCCTGTTATTATATATCCTTGCCCTGTTAATATATATCCCTGTTCTTATATTATATATCATTGCCCTGCTATTATATATCCTTGCCCTGTTATTACAAACCTTGCCCTGTAATTATATATCTTTGCCATGTTATTATATACCCTTGTCCTGTTATTATATATCCTTGCCCTGTTATTATATAAACTTTTCCTGTTGTTATATACACATGGCCTGTTAGCATATATCCTTGCCCTGTTATAATATGTCTTTGCCTTATTATTATATAATCTTGCCCTGTTATAATATACACTTGCACTGGTATGAATTATCCTTGCCCTGCTAATATATACCCTTGTCCTGCTATTATATATCCTTGCCTTGTTATTATATATTATTGCCCTGTTTTAATATATCCTTGCCCTGTGTTTATATATCCATGCCCTGTTATCATATATCATCTGCCCTGTTATTATATATCCTTGTCCTCTTATTGTATAACCTTGGCCTGTTAATATATACACTTGCCCTGTTATTATATATCCTTGCTCTGTTAGTATATACCCTTGCCCTTATATTATATATCCTTGCCCTCTTATTATATACCCCTGGCCTGTTAATATATACCCTTGCCCTGTTATTATATATCTTTGCCCTGTAAGTATATACCCTTGCCATTATATTATATATCCTTGCCCTGTGTTTATATATCTATGCCCTGTTATCATATATCATCTGCCCTGTTATTATATATCCTTGTCCTCTTATTGTATAACCTTGGCCTGGTAATATATACCCTCGCCCTGTTATTATATACTCTGCCCTGTTATTATAAACCTTGCCCTTTTATCATATATCTTTGTCCTTTTATTATATACCTTTGCCCCGTTATGATATATTCCTGTCCTGTTATTATATACCCTTGTCCTGTTATTATATATCCCTGTCCTGTTATTATATATCATTGCCCTATTATTATAAATCATTGTCCTGTTATTATATAGCCTTGCCCTGTTATTATATATATTTGCCTTGTTTTGATATATCCGTGCCCTGGTATTATATATCCTTGCCCTTTTATTATGTACCTTTGTCATCTAATTATATGGCCTTGCCCTGTTATTATATATCCTTGCCCTGTTTTGAGATATCCATGCACTGGTATTATTTATTCTTGCCCTGTTATTATATACACATGCCTAGTTATTATGTACCTTTTCCCTGTTATTGTATATCCGTGCTCTGTTGATATATATCCTTGCCCTGCTATTATATACCCTTGCCCTGTTATTATATATCCTTGCCTTGTTATTATATACTATTGTTTTGTCTAAATATATCCTTGTCCTAATTTTATGTATCCATGCCCTCTTATTATATATCCTTGGCCTGTTTATATATACCCTTGCCCTGTTATAATATATCCTTGCCCTGTTATCATATTTCCTTGCCCTGTAAGTATATACCCTTGGCCTTATATTATATATGCTTGCCCTCTTATTATATACACATGGCCTGTTAATATATACCCTTGCCCTGTTATTATATATCCTTGTACTGTTATTATATATCCTTGCCCTGTTATTATATGTCCTGGCCTGTTCGTATATACCCTTGCCCTTATATTTTATATCCCTGCCCTATTATTATATACCCTCGACCTGTTATTATATACCCTTGTCCTGTTATTATATACCCTTGTCCTGTTATTATATACACTTGCTCTGTTATTATGAACCCTTGCCCTGTTATTATATATATTTGCCCTGTTTTGATATATCCGTGCCCTGGTATTTTATATCCTTGCCCTTTTATTATGTACCTTTGTCATCTAATTATATGGCCTTGCCCTGTTATTATATATCCTTGCCCTGTTTTGAGATATCCATGCACTGGTATTATTTATTCTTGCCCTGTTATTATATACACATGCTCTGTTATTATGAACCCTTGCCCTGTTATTGTATATCCGTGCCCTGTTGATATATATCCTTGCCCTGCTATTATATACCCTTGCCTTGTTATTATATACTATTGTTTTGTCTAAATATATCCTTGTCCTAATTTTATGTATCCATGCCCTCTTATTATATATCCTTGGCCTGTTAATATATACCCTTGCCCTGTTATTTTATTTCCTTGCCCTGATAGTATATACCCTTGCCCTGTTATTATATACCCTTGGCCTTATATTATATATGCTTGCCCTATTATTATATACCCTCGACCTGTTATTATATACCCTTGTCCTGTTATTATATACCCTTGTCCTGTTATTATATATCCTTTCCTGATATTTTATACCCTTACCCTGTTATTATATATCCCTGTCCTTATATCATATATCCTTGCCGTGCTATTATATACCCTTGCCCTGTTATTATATACCTTTGCCCTGTTATTATATATCCTTGTCCTGTTATTATATATCCTTGCCCTGTTATTATATGTCCTGGCCTGTTCGTATATACCCTTACTCTTATATTGTATATCCCTGCCCTATTATTATATACCCTCGACCTGTTATTATATACCCTTGTCCTGTTATTGTATACCCGTGTCCTGTTATTATATATCCTTTCCTGATATTTTATACCCTTACCCTGTTATTATATATCCCTGTCCTTATATCATATATCCTTGCCGTGTTATTATATACCTTTGCCCTGTTATCATATATCATTGTCCTGTTTTTATATATCATTGCGCTGTTATTATATACACTTGCCCTGTTATTATATATCCTTGCCTTGTTATTTTATATCCGTATCCTAATATTATATATCCTTGCCCTGTTATGATATATCTTTGCCCTGTTTTGACATATCCGTGCCCTGGTACTATATATCATTGCCCTGTTATTATGTACCTTTTCCCTCTAATTAAATGGCCTTGTCCTGTTATTATATATACTTGTCCTGTTTTGACATATCAATGCCCTGGTATTATTTCTTCTTGCCCTGTTATTTTATACAGATGCCTTGTTATTATGTACCTTTGTCCTGTTATTGTATACCCGTGCCCTGTTAATATATATCCTTGCTCTGTGTATATGTGTCCAACATGAGGCTGATAGGATCAATTCTTTTTTACCATTATTCCTACTAATCTAGCAATTAGCTAATATTATAGATGACTTGACCTACCTTGATCAAGTGTATATGTTTAATCTTTCGTTGATGAACTTTGATGTAATGGACAGATAAGGAATTATTTTGTCTGTCTAACTACCGTTTTATCGTGTGTTGATGTTTATTTACTATCTTTATCAGGAACACGTGTTATTTCCAGAAGACACTTTACAGATGGGGAACCACAAAAGTAGGATGGTAAGTAGTATAATTCCATATATACAATAACGCATTTCATAAAAAAAAAAAAATGAAGAAGTAGAATCAGGAACAAACTACACCTATCGTTAAAACTCTCGGATAATATATACCATACGTTACATTCATGAGGACAAAATATACCTGTTCGACAAGAAAAGACAAAATGCACTTTGTCGTAAGTACACGGGACAAAATGTATCATATGGTCAATACACGTGGGAAATGTACCACCTGCAAAACGCAAAAGGACAAACCATATCACATCGTCAGGTAACAGAAAAAAAACCAATAAACAGGTAATAAGGACAAAATGTACGGTATGGTCATTATACAGAGCCAAAATCTACCACATCGTCAATACACAGGGACAAAATATACCACATCGTCAAAACACAGGAACAAAATCTACTACATCGTCAAAACATATGGATAAAATTTACCGCCATATCAATACACAGGGACAACATATACCACATCGTCAAATTACAGTAACAAAATATACCACATTGCCAAAACACAGTAACAAAATATACCACATTGCCAAAACATATGGATAAAATATACCGCAATATCATTTCACAGGCACATAATATTACACATCGTCAACTCAAAAGATCAGACTACACCACATCATCAATACACATAGACAAATGGTTTTAGGTCGTCAATACAGTTTGGACACCATCTTTAGATCGAAGGTTCACTTGACGTGTTCTAAAACACGGTGAAGATTTTTATCATGACCTTCACTGAAATGTCATAGCTCTATATATAGAATGTAGATGTTGGGAACAGTTCTGGATTAGTTTATCATACTAAGTCCATCAAGCTATGTTGGAATCCTACTACCGAGGAAAGGGAAGTAATCACTCATGATATAACTGTTTACAGGTTCTGACACATATTAGTGGTGCGTTTCAAACATTTCCTATTTTACTGTCACTTAAAACAAACTTAATTTCTTATATTTACACAATACTGATAAATCTCATTCCGAAAAGAGAAAAATAATTCAAAAATAAGTTAAGGTATCGCTGTCTTTGTAGAATTGACCATTGATTCGTTTGGCCTATTTTTATTTGTTACAGGTGGGGCAGAAAAAATGTAAGAAGGGTTTACTATTCAACAGGTTCACGCTGTTGTACTGGGTACAACGGGCCATCTTGTAGAACTCGTAAGCATAAGTTTTTATTCCATTTCTTCATTTATTAATATAATATGTATGTTCTTCACGAGACTTTAGAAAATACAGATTGTTATTATCCAGAAACAATGCCTTTAAATGAGAAATATATAACTGAGGGAAGACTGTCCTAGTGTATCATTTTATGATAATATTTTGACGCGAAATAAAAGAGATATTTGTATGGCGAAAATATATCGAAATACTTGTAATATTCCTATCTTTGACCTCTGGTATTAATCAATTGTACTACTTTTGTATTTCTAATACTGCACTCTCAGTGGGATATATTTCTTATGTGCCCTCTTCTTAGGAGATAGTATGTAAATAATGATACACAGTTATCTCCTGCGACCGTTTAATGCTTACTAATTTTATGTCCGTTCCTATTGTACCCCATACACAGTGACTTTCTTTTTAGCAAAACAATATGCTTAGTTCCAGTTTAATATCGATGCAGCCCGGATGTGCTTTCCACTTATGGTGGAGGTTTCTGTTTGGCTAAATGCTGAAAAAAAGCCCAAAAAAACACATCAAATGTAATACAAACTCGACTAATTGATAATTTACATTTTATTTTTATTTCTCTAATAGCCATTATGTGTCTGTCCATTCATGTGGCATACGTCACACATCCAAGAAATGATAAAAACAACCACGGAACGCAGAGGTCATGAGCACGACCTGCACGTTATTTTAATTGGTTAGTTTCTATTAATAATAGTGACGACACAAAACACTGCTTCGTGACGGCATCTTCAATTGTGACGGCACGACTCTTGGCAATTGATTAGTCATTCAGAAACAGGAGACATGGATATCGAAGAGGAGCGTGGTTTTCTAAATAATATTTTAACTTTATCAAAGGCGATAAAAAAAATCAAAAAAAAATCTTGACCGCTTATTATTATAGTAAACTTTCATCAGACAAACTCCGGTTTACCAAATTGAATTCGGTAAAATCGTGCAATTTGTGGGAAAATTTACAAGTTCGATTTAGATAACCATAATTAACCATCCCCTACTCGTTTGAGAACATCTATTTATTTATACTCAGTGTATTTGTTTCTATATTCCATGTTTGGTGTTACAACGCTATGTGCTTTTCTGTAACTATTGCAAAATACTCCATTTACATGTAAGAATGTATCAAAATTAAAAATGCGTTATGTTTGACTCTACTGTATTAGAAAAGTCCAATTTACATCATCTACCAGGATAACGAAATCTTTTAACAAAACTAGGTTTTCAATATCTATTAATAAAAAACAAAAGTTCTTTTGCCTACAATATAAATAAAGCACAAAATTACGGACAAAAATGACGAACGTTGAAAATTGACTGATATTATTTTTTATCTTTTTTATTTGTTACAATGCATCGTAGGAACCTCCTCAATGCTTTCTATGCAATCATCACAGAGTATGATATGTATCCTTATAATTAGATACTGTTTTCCACGATAATTTCTATAAATGCTAGAAACTAACCCACTGACCGACTTCTGGTAATTAATGTCATTTTAACAGTTTTTGTCTGTTTCAGCTATTTGCAATCCTCCTTGTATAGGTGGTACCTGTACGTCACCTAATAGGTGTCAATGCGACAACGCTCATACAGGAAGTACTTGTCAAACAGGTAATTGTCATTACTAGAATGTTTTTTTTAACTATGGCATTATTTGTTTCTTGAGTGAGTTTATTTACTTATTTCTTGTTTAACTCTTGTGCAATTAATCTTTACGAATGCCTACATAACTCGGTGAGTAATATGTTTTGGACTCATTACCATCATTGTTCATGAAATTAAACTTTCTTTATCGGACATAGCACTTACAAATCCCTTACTATAACAGAAAACGTACGTATTAAACAACTGTCTAAAGATACAAACAACGAACAATGCTTTCTTATTGTTATGCAATACACAAGTATCCATGACAATATTTAAGGAACAAAGAGCTTTCTGATCGCTTGGTTTATTTGCAGTTGTATGTTCTCACCTGAAACCCTGCTTCCCCGGGAATTGCACGTATCCTCACAACTGTAGATGTCAGTCTGGTTTCACAGGCACCACTTGCCTAACATGTAAGTATTATAATTAGGAATCATTAGGACTCAGCTCGATAATAAGTATGCTATTGATAAATATAATTATACACTGAAATAAAACGTCAACTAACCATCCGACATATAGATTTCTAGGCAATGCTAGTTATGTATTTCTTATATAACTACTATATGCTTCTTCACCGCCAACTTATTGGATAATCCTGCCAAGAGCTGATAAACATTTTTGGTGGGTAACAGCCTGGAGGTCACTAATTGGTCAATTTTTGAGTTGTGACATCACGTAAACATGTTTTGCTTCGTTATAATTAATCATGACGTCAACATTTATTGCAATAGTTTACCCGATCTCAACAGAAATAATACAGTTCCCAGGGAAACTTACGGCTATTTTGATATGATATGAACGTCACGGTAGAAAAGGGTCCTGATGGCTGGCTATCATACTCTTGTCAGTTGATTTTAAAGTTTTAAAAAACACTCGGTAAACTTCGAGTCTTTATACAAGTAGACAAATAACCAACTCGAATTAAATAAACATGACTACCAGCCATTATTCGTTAGGGAACCTCTTTTTGTGTTATTTTCTCATGGATATCGTTAATGCATTGTCATGAAAATATATATGAAGTTTTATTTTTAAATCTTTCTTGGTAAAATAAAGCGTCGTTCATGTTAAGACATGCATATCTAATTATTTGTGTCATTTTATTTGAGTGCAAGCTTCTCAAACACCAAATCTCCTTCGCACCAGCACATACCTCGTCAATCAGGAAAGAACGAGCGGTAAAGTGTTCGCCAGATTCCTGTCCGATTCCACAGCACCAAACACTGGTTATACAGATAGAATTTGGTTGATGAAGCATGATTTCAATATCATCAACATCTATTTCGAATCAATGTACAATTATCCCTTGCTGGAGGAGAACGGCAATTACATTGAAAATTACGGCTTTGGGATAGTGGACGGGCGAGCTCGTTTGACACTTACAAAAATTCAGCACCAAGGTATGTATATCGGCATCATTAATACAGCAATGCTTGGTATTACCTTCGGTATGGACGTCTTGTCATAAAGAGTCTTACTCAGCGACGAACACTTCACTAACATTAATACGATACCAGGCATCAGCTTCAACAGCCTCGCCCATACAGGGTAGCATATGTCAACCAATTCGACACACACAATCATATTCAACAATCGATACAACACGTGTGGTCATATTCGAAAATAAATATATCACATGTGGTCATATTCAGCCTTAAGGACAACATGTTCGATCATATTCAACAACCTATTCGACACGCATTATCCTATTAAACAATCAATACGTCACGTGTTGTCATATTGAACATTCTTACAAGATTCGTTTGCAACTCGTGTTTTGATTGGATACGGACCATGTTCTAATCTGCGATAGAATCATGATCAATCGTGTTAAGCTTCTCCCATCGCAATTAAGCCACGCCCCGTTTCTAACCAAAACAATATGGCGTCAAGCTCGCCTCTTAGCGAAATCCCGCTGATAAGGCTGGTAGGCAACAGAACAGAAACGACCGATGAAATGAAATGTTGAATGAATTAAAAAGTAAAAAGTAAACATTCCTAGTTCTTACCTGCATTTATTACTGAAAAGTTCGTTCCATCCGTATGAAGGCATCTAGTTAGATCTGAAATCAAATGAAACATTTCACATGTGTCGTATGAAACTCTTCACAAATCTATACAAATAATCACCGATTTTATCGATACGCACAGATTGGTATGCATACTGACATGGAAATGTGATAATTTGGTCAATATAAATCAAAATGTGTCGTATAAACTTTGGTAACAGGACGTTCACGAACAATCCAAATATTCCACCTCGTCAACATACAGATCGAGCGCTCGCCAGTATGGGCGGGTCCAAATGACCGAGTTTTGAAAGCTTCTTTCCGATTGGTCAGTCCGCTGCAGAATGACACGTCGCCAGTTCTGGTCACAAAGTATTTTATTACGTACTTTTGTACAAGGAAATAAATATTTCTAAACACATTAGCGAAGTATATTTGTTAACAGTTATTGGTTTGAACTCCTGACTTATCGGTCTCGAGTTCCAACCAATTTTCATGTTCTAATCGCTAGTATAGTCACTCAAAACAACGTACTATCCCCTAAATCAATACGACACGTGTGGTCATTTTCAACAATCAACATAATATGTGTGGTAATATTCAACAATCAGTACGACACGTATGATCATATTCAACAACCAATTAAACATCCAATACGACACGCATTGTCATATTCAACAATCAATACGACATGCATGTAATATTCAACAATCAATACAACACGTGTTGCCATGTTCAATAATAAGTACGTCACGTGTGGTCATATTCAGCAATCAATACGACACGTATGATCATATTCAACAACCAATTAAACATCCAATACGACACGCATTGTCATATTCAACAATCAATACGACATGCGTGTAATATTCAACAATCAATACGACACATGTTGCCATGTTCAATAATCAGTACGTCACGTGTAGTCATATTCAGCAATCAATACGACACGTAGGATCATATTCAACAAACAATACGACACTGATGATATATGGTCTTATCTATCGTACAGAAACCTTAACGCCTCAGTTATATGTCCGTATAAGGAACAGGATATTCATTATCCAGTACCAAAGCCATTCAACAATCAAAATTGTATTTGGATTGAGATAAGATCATTCTTCAAAGAGCATATCGAGTATGACATGATTTAAAATTATGTATCTTGATATCATTTTAAATTAATTTTCTGATATTTTTCGTTTTCATTGTGAAGGATCCTCTACGTCATATAGACAACAGAAGGACTACACCTGTCCACACAACCCCACTACAGCTAAACCTCAAGAAGGTGTCTTTAAATGCAACATAACTGATACTGATTTTGATTGGTTGTTAGAAAATGGAGATATGTAAGTATGCTTGTGTTGGTACATTAATTTCTTGTTGTCCAAAGACGTTCACTCAATGGTATAGTGTTGTTGACAAATAATCACTGTTCCCTGCCTAATTGTATTAGTCTTTTAAAGAGCTTCCGTTACTTTAGTTTTATGGAGATAGCTTGGTATTATTTAATGATTGTTATACAAGAATGGTTGTATGGAGCAACTGTTCTTTTTCCTACTGTTTTTAAAATCGCCATAGATACGTATGCTTTAGGGTAATATTTAATAATATCTCACTAAAATAGAATAAAATAAGTTATAACTCATTACCTGATGAACCATACAAGAGATGTTTCAATTAAAAAATATTGTAGAGAACAATTAATTTGTAATATTAAGTATTATATGACGGCGATATATTGCTGAAAGGTAAAGCGACTGAAAATTACTGCATCATGTTTATTGTAACTTATTCTGATAGATTCAGCAATGACATTTTCATATTGACCCGATAACGTCATAATCGGTATGTCTCATTGCTTTAACATCCAATTTATTTCAGTTGTTTCTTTAAGAACCGCTGTCCTTTTGCAGGCAAATCACTGAAGAATTCACCTCATGTTTTCAATACATACAATATCATTCTTTAAGTTCGCTTCGTATATAATTAAAGTGTCATTGAGCCAGGGAACTACCGCTGACCAGGTACAGATACCGCTATTGGTTACGGCGTCGTTATTGTGATCGGAGGTCCAGGGTTCGAATCCATGTCTGAGCAAGTACAGGTACCGCTATTAGTTATTGCGGCCTTATTGTGATCAGAGGCATTTTGTTCGAATCCATGTCTGAACAGCTACAGATGTACCGCTATTAGTTATGGCGGCCTTATTGTGATCGGAGATCCAGGGTTCGAATTTATTTTTGATCAGGTACAGATACCGCTATTAGTTATGGCTGTCTTATTGTGATCAGAGGTACTGTTCGAATCCATGACTGAACAGGTACAGGTACCGCTATTAGTTATGGCAGTCTAATGGTGGTCGGAGGTCCAGGGATCGAATCCTTGTCTGATTAGGTACAGGTGCATGTCTGGCTCCGTTTTTTACTTTCAAAATACTATTGTTGATTGTTTCCCGGTGCTGCATCATTTTTACTACAGTTTCTAAAGACATACGTGGCTTTAAGAAATGAATTTTAAACATATATCATGCTCGGAAAAACTCTGCTGTTCTTCAACAGCTCTTGTCTGGTATAATTGTTATAAATGAGACGAATATATTACAGTATGGTGGCTACTGTATCAACACAGAGTGGGGGATTCCGAGCTATCCGGTCGCTAGATACATTAACACACTACCGAAACGACTTTTATGAAACTCAAACGGCAACAAAACACATGCAGTTCATGTTCGACTACCACCCACCTTACCACTGTTTGGAAACGAGAACATGTTCAAGAGAACAACAGCCGCTTCTAATTAGTAATGATATCTCAAAGGTAAGCGACCTGTCGTTAACAGTAGAACATGTAACGTCACAGTGCTGCTGGCCGTACTAAGGTGTAAGCATAGATTTGTTCTTGTATATTTTCATTGCCATCACCAATCGCTAAATAAACACTGCCAGAAGAAACGCATGCATAAGGCTGTCAATGCAATTGCATTAACCTTCAGGCTTCTCCATGACGATACCATAACTGTATTTATATAAGTATTAGGAAATACTCATACTTACACTCCTAAGAACTATATATTAAAAATGTTAATATCTGAATACATGTTTCTGAACGGATATTTGTATTACAATCAGCCCGGTATGAACGACATCCACATATAGCAAGAAGTCCTTGCAGGCTTCATGCAATACTTGCAAATTTTATTTTTCAAAAATGTCTATTCAATCATTATTTAGTTATCTGCAGTTTTTCACATAAAACCATGAATTTCGGAGATAAAGCATATTTAAAGTCATACCTTGTATCTATTCACACGAATAACTGAATCCCCATATTCAGTTTTAGCTAGTATTTTGTTCTTGATAATCATTGAATTACATCCACGATATTCTACAGCTTTCTACATATGCATTATTTGACAATTGTTAACAAGACCATTTTATGACGATTTGTTATACACTATTTATAATACCATTTCATTTCAGTAATAATTACCATAACTTTAGTATGCATATACAATACCTACACCCATCTTTGTAGCCCAAAAACAAAAGATTCAAATATCCCTACCTCCCTACCGTGACGTAACCTCTATCTCGATGACAGAGCCACGGAGTGATCTCCCTTCCTCTTCCTTTTATGGCGCCTGCTGCATGCTGACGCACGGAGCTTGCTCCAATT